TCTCTCTGTTTCTCCTGGTTTTTGTTTGTTTAAATAGAACCTGCGAGTTAGAAAATAGTGGTTTTTTTGTAGGAGTTTTGGGTGGGTTTCGTTAAATTTTAATATAATCTGCTGCTCTTCTCGGCCCCGAGGTCGGCTATAGAAGCATGTACACGAAAAAGAGTCTCTCCCCCCCCTGTACAAAAGTTGTGTCTGTTATTGAGGAATTTTCCTGTTTTTTCCTTATAGTTGAGGAATTTTCCTGCTTTTCCTTATATTTGGAGTTCTGCTTTTGTGCATCTATTGCGTTTATAATAATTCCGGGGTGGGCGGTGGGGAAACAACCCCCCAAAAAAAAAAAGAAAAAAAGAAAAAAAAAAAAAAAAAAAAAAAAAAAAAAAAAAAAAAAAAAAAAAGAAGGAAAAAGCCCCCAAAAAAAGAGTCATATCTGGGTTTCCTGAACTTTCTCCTTGGTGTGGGTCTGGATTAAATAGGGGTCGGCCAGGGTGGTCCCCGGGGGGTGCAGCGAGTTGCCCAGCGCGTTCTCTGTCCAGTGGGCCCCGTGTCCCGCCTTGTAGGTGTTGTAGTTGATGTGGTCGTGGATGTTGGGCAGCACCACGGCCCCCTCCCCGGCCACGCCGGCGGGCGAGGCGGCGGGCGCGGCGGCGGCGGCGGCGGGCGCGATGTCCTCGTCCACCTGGATGATCTCCACGGTGCGCGCGGCCGTCACGGTGCTGCGCTGCTGGTGCCGCTTGCGGAGCTTGTAGAAGACGATGAGCATGGCCGCGGCCAGGAGCGTCACCGCCACGAAGCAGCCGATGATGATCTTGGTGGTCTTCATCACCTCGTCCAGGCTGGTCTGCAGCTTGTCGCCGGCGTCGGCGGTGGGCACGGCCACCTGCTTGGGCGTCCGCGTGGTCTGCACCAGGACGGTGGTGGTGGTGGTGTAGGCCGGCTGGTAGCCCGTCGAGGTGGTGGGCACGGGCTTGGTGAACTTGGGGGAGATGTCCTCCGGGGAGATCTCGGTGGTCTCCACCGTGACGGTGGTGAAGAAGCTGTAGTTGGAGGTGTTGAGCTCGGCCGTGCTCACGTTGAGGTACGCCGAGGCGTTGGAGTTGCCCGCCACGTTGGTCACCATGCAGGTGTAGACCCCGGTGTCCGTCAGCAGGACGTGGGAGAAGTTGAGGGTGCCGTCGTTGAGCACGGAGATGCGCGGGTGGCTGGACGCGTGGCTCAGCACCGTCCCGTTGGGCAGCAGCCACCGCACCGACGACATGGAGGGCGTGCGGCACTTGAGCTCGGCCACGCGCCCCTCCGAGATGTTGAGGTCCATGGGGGCGTCCATGATGAAGGGCGCCGAGCACTGGAAGGAGGTCTGGTCCACCTCCACCAGGAACCTGCCCCGCATGTGCAGCGGGGCATGGCAGCGCCCGCAGCAGGTGGAGTTGGTGGGGATGTACTCCCGCAGCCACCACGACAGCCAGAGGATGTCGCAGTCGCAGTCCCAGGGGTTGTGGTGCAGGTGGAGCTCCACCAGGTACCGCAGCGGGGCGAAGAGGTCGTGGGGCAGGGAGGACAGGTTGTTGTGGGCCAGGTTGAGCTCCACCAGCGCCGTCAGGTCGTCGAAGGCGTTGCGCTCGATCAGGTTGATCTGCGAGTTCATAATCCAGAGCTTTTTGAGGGATTTGAGCCCGTGGAAGGAGCCCGGCTTGATCTCGGGGAAGTTATTGCCCGACATCTCCAGCTCCTCTAGCCCCACCAGGGGCGTCAGGTTGGGCATGTCCTTAATGTTGCACATCCCCAGGTTGAGGTACTTGAGGTTGTACAGGCCCTCGAAAGCCCCCTCGGAGATGTACTCCAGCTTCTTGAGCTCGCCCAGGTCGAGGCGCATGAGGGAGGGCACGCGGTTGAAGGCGTACGAGGGGATGCTCTCGATGGGGTTGTTGCGCAGCCACAGCTCCCGCAGCTTGGACAGGTACTCGAAGGCCCCGCTGGGGATGACGGTGAGCCAGTTGTCGAAGAGCTCCAGGGTGTTGAGGCTGGCCAGGCCGTTGAAGGCCCCCACCTCGATCTGCCGGATGGCGTTCCTGCCCAGCTGCAGGACCTCCAGGTGGTGCAGGTGGCGGAACGTGTCCGCCTGGATCATCTGGATGTTGTTCTCCATGAGGTTGAGATAGCGGGTGTTGG